CTGTTTGAGGAACAAACTAAGGCTTTGCCGGCTCACGTATTCGCAAATGATCTCGTCTTGTGGTTTGCTTGCTAAAGAATGTTCGACAAACCGTTCGCCCTTCTTACAGTGTCCATCAATCTAATTCCACATATTCTCGCTTCTGAATACTTCATAAACACTCTACATGCTAATTATACATTATCTTTCTTATTCCTCGTTTCATTGAAAAAACCTTATTGCCTGCCATGCGCATTTATTGGAAAATGTGTCTTTCTTTTTAAAGATGCAGGCTCTCAAGTCCAAGGCTCAGGCAATTAAATTTTGTCAAAACCATCAAGTTTCCGGCACAAAGCTGTGCATCTTACCCCCGTCTGGCAAGACCGCCACCTTTCCCTCGTCACTGTTCTACTTTATTTTCACAAAAGCAGTATGAAACGCAGACATGGATGGAAACTGCCCGTATGGTCATGAAATTTCAAAACCATGAACCGGCCTTATTCAAAAGCCTTGACACGGTATGCAAGAAGCGGATGTTCGCCCACGTTTAAAGGATATTTGAAAATCAATTACTTAAAATGCATAAAAGATCCCGAACAAGTGGCAAACAGAAAATCAGTTTCCGTCAGAACGTCGGCAACAGGAAGTCTTAATTACAAGCCATTCGTGCGAGAGGAGGCATGCTTCTATGTGTGAAGTATTGACGATGATCTTGCGTGAGGAGGAAGTTTGCTTGTAAGTGTTTCGAAAAGGATTTTTACCTGTATTTTCAATTGTTCTGCATTGCTCCACAATCGACAAAATTCTTTGTTCCAGAAATTGATAAAAATGAATTGTTGACCAATTGCTGTTAATTTAATTTCTTCGAGACCATCAATTTCATTGATCTATTTAGTGCTCGATGAATATGAAGATCTACTTTACACTGCATGGAATAAAACAAAGACATTATTTGTTCTACTCTAAGCATTGTTAGTTCTGTTTTATGCTTGTTGAACAGTGTTTTGAAATTTTTGTAAATTTACTCAAACATGCCAAATAAACCCGTTTATGATAACGCAGTTAAAGATAACTGGGTGAAAATATCGTTTTAAGTGTCAACGAAATCAGCACGAAAACATGAATTGCATTACTTATGTCACTGAATCACTCATTTTTAAACTTTAAGACCTTTAGTTCTACACGGCTGTGTACTCCCTGTGACTAAGGGAATCTTTTTCAACTGGTACAGTTGATAAATACCGACTGTTGTTGGCTGCCAAGCCATAAAGATTTCTCAAAGCCTTAAAAGACTGATCTTTGAATTGATAGATTTTAAAGAAAATCCTTAGATGGCAATATTCTAACTAGTGCATTTAGTTGATGATTATCTGAAACAACTTGGTAAGAAATGTCCATCATGTGAGTAAAGCTAAGAAACCTGTAGGGCAACGGTAGAGAAAACACTTCTCTTTTAATAACTGATAAAGTAATCGTACGCGTATATCATTTTGCTTCCATCAACTAACTCAAAAAACGTGTATCAGATGATAGTACTTCAATAACAACAACAACAACATTTTTAGTCACACTATTTCGGTAGAAGAAAAAGAGCAATAAAAAAAAGTTTAGAAAACAAATAGTAGAAGATGTGTAATTATTTATACAATTTTTGAATTAGTGTGCAACAGCCAAAGTAGCAAAGCTACTTCTTCAGTATCACTCGGGCATTTTTCCACAAATTAACTGAGTGTATCAATGCACAATAATGTAGCAACATAAACAACTAAAAATTAAGGTGATTAATAAAAAGGTCGGCCTGATTGATGTACATTACATAAGTATCAACTTTCCTAGGAATGACAAGTTCTATACGCAGAGTGTGTAATATTGCATGTGTGGTTGACGAAATATTCAGCTATGTTCAAAGAAACTAAGTATATTTTGTTCAGGTTGTACTAAAAAACTCATAACTCGACAAAGCACGTGGTCTAGGGGTTGTTTTGCTGGGTCTCATTATTTTCTTTTTCTTTTTTCTGTCGCATTTATCTTGAATGCTTTGCTATTCCAGCCTCTTTAAGCAATTTTACTCTAGCTCTTACCCTCTGTAGTATCACTCCGGAATATCGCTTTTTCTTTACTCCTTACTTTCATGCAAAAAATAGCATTCTCTACTAACTGTGTGAGCTGCTAATGAGCCACAATTAAACATTGTTGAATTACAAGCAAAGATTACAAACAGCATTTCAAACTTACCACAATATCTCCTTGCATGGTGTATAACTTGTCTCTGAGATCTTTAGTGTATTCAAACATCGAGAGTTTGTTAAAAGACTCGTATGAACAAAGGGGGTAGGAAAAATAACCGGTGACATCGCGTTGCTCTTTGTTGAAATTTGTTGAATTTTAATGGTTACGCAACGATGCTTCCATTGTGCATAGAAATCTTCAAGCGTAAGAGAAGAGGATGTTATTACTTTCTTGAGTTTTGCTAAGGGATCTGATCTAAGATCTGTGCTATGAGGGCGATTAGCGAGACTTGGGTTTTTCAATTTTTATTATTTGAGTTGTGTAAGCATCCAAATTCAGTTAGGGATATCACAAAGTAAATTCGAGAAGATTTCAATGGCCACCACCTTTTTCCGCTGGTTCCGCGTGGGCGCTCGATTTCCTTACAGGAAAACTAAACGTCCAAAAACAGCATTTCTAAAAAAATGATGGTGTAACTTATGTTTGCTGCTTGCCTAGAAAAGCCTGCTTTAGCAAATGTAACATTTTGGATTTTTATCACACATTTTCAAAGAGACTACCAATTCGTGTCCTCGAGCCGGGTAAGAGTAAACGAATTCTCGAGGTAAGTGATACATCGTGGATGCTGTTTGTTATTAAGACTAAAATGAATCAACCTTTAAAAACCTCTTCAGTCACGGAAGACCGAAATTTCTTAAACAAATATCCTCACGGCAAGTGCCATTGAGTGTATGTATGGCTTATTTCTTATAATAAATCAATGAGTGGTTAATTATTTTCGGTTTTATAAAGATAATCTCATTAATGCATGCCGTTATCCCGGCTCTCTGTGTTTTCATATCTCCTTCAAAGCAACTCAGGGGAAATCAGCCTGATTGCTGGCAATCAATTATTGCGGAACTAAAGAAATCGTGCAAAGAATTATCCTTGCGATCAGACTTTTACGGAGATTTTGAAAGAGGAATCGTTGCTTTGTGGTAAGCACTTAATAAGTAACTCAACTGATTCGTAATTCACATAAGTTCCACGACGAAGGCTGTCTTTGTCTTTGTCAGGTTTATACTGGGTATTATCAAATCATTCTTTATGCTCAACATCAAAATTCATAACTTCAAAAGTTACATTTGAGTCACACGATGTCGATTAGCGTTTCCCAATGCCACTGAGAAGAGAAAATGCGCCACTTACATGTTTGATCAGTTCAAATTGTTTGATTTACAGCAAGCCATCTCCTCTTCCACATTTGAAAGCCAACGATATTTCTAGTTTCTAGAATAGTTCAGATTCAATGACCTCTTCACTCATTCAGTTTCAATGAAAAATCAGACTGATATGAAACATTTCGTTGTTTTTGACGCGTTTGCAGTATTAATGGTCAGTAAGGATTTCAAATACGGAGCGCAGCCTGACTTATCCGGTGACCTTACCCTACTCTTGTTTCTTATTTAGCATCAACTGTGTGCATTTATAAGCTAACTGCTCCAGGAAAGTATTTCTAAAGTTAGACAGATGCTTAGAATAGTTTGAACAGATCTAAAGCATTAATGGTCGACCCTTATGGACCAGGTCCAGCCAGCCATCTCATACGAATTATGATCTTCAATAATTTTCTTTCGACGGCATGGTAGCACTATTTCATATCGAGTGTAGAATATTTTGTTGTTTGAAGGCAGGCAGAAAAGGTGAGTAGCAACTCTAAAGGCCTGTAGCAAAGTATCATCAATTGTTGTGTGCCTTGTTGTTCTCGATTCACGATTACTGCAGAGCGATTGATTATCAAATTTCTCGATGCCCCTCAATAGAGACAGAAGACGTGTCTAAAACATGCTTTTGAAAACTCTACCAAAGGAAGATTTAAACTGAAAAAAAATTCTTTTTTCGGAATAATGGTATTCATTGAGCGAACAAGGTTTTTAAAGAGAATAGAAGAATCAGTAGATGACCGAAATGTTCATATCGATATGCCGTCTGCAAATCCTCAAAATCAACAATTCTCCATACCAAACTGGATAAACATATTCTACAGAAGTTGGTGAAAATAAAAACGCAACAACTCCAGTCAATTCTTGTAAAGTTTTGTTGAGAAAGAGACCTAGTCGAAACAAGAAATAAGGTTAGCTGATGAGCCTTCTTAAAGTTTTATAGTTTTTACGATATGCCGTTGAGTGTTGTTTGTAGCGTTGTTCGTAACTAAATCAGTGTTGCTTTGAGTTCGAGAAAAGGTTTATTGTCAGTCTTTGAAAATTACGTTTGTGGCTCCATGGATCTGAGAATTGAAAATCATATCTATAAATATATGAAGGCACACACTATCGAATATTTCCTTTCCCTCTTTTACACATGTTGTACTTGTGAATTTCTAGCCAATTTGGAAACTCAGTATTACACGTTATGTTGCAGTATCAAACAGATATGCTATTTCGTTGAAAAGATCTTGGTAATTAGTGCAGTTAAAATTACTTCGCAGGAAACATAAACAAAACACCTTGTTATTGTCACTTATTTCAATGCTTTTTACCGCCACGGTCAAATTCCCCTACGCCGGTCTTTCTAACCGAAGCATGCTTGGAACTCTTTTGTGGAATTACAAGTCGGGGCTAAATGTCGGACGGTTCTGTCCTAGCAGGCTTGAAATGATAGCATTGAAGTCTCATTTTGTTCTTAGGGTACCACAGATTTCCAGAGAATGTCAATCTTACGTAGCTAACAAAAATAAACACATGAAAAGGAGGTACTTAGAGGACATAATATTCCTTTCATGTTTATCATTTAATTGATAAAGGGTTACTCACCTTCTTTGCTGCTTTAGCCCAGAGTTTGAAGAATGCTTTTGTTTTCTCTCACAGACTGTAGAAAAGAACTGATGTAAATATCCCATCCGATTTCGTGCTCTGTTTGCAAGGTGATTCGGTCCATTCATGGTTAACAAGCTGAGCGGCCGGCAATGGTCCGTTTGTTTGCCACTAAACACGACTGAACAAGGCAAAACAAACTTTAGACCCTCAAATATGAGCCAAAATACCGTAAAAGGACCAGTGATAGCAGAGTCAATAGACGGTTTAGTTCATGTTCTAAAATTCTGTTTAGCTCAATACAGAGGAAGTCAATGAGCGGAGAATTACGCAGTAGGTGTTATGTGAACTGATAACTACGAACATCACGATATTTCCTGTCAATTCCATGTTCGTAAAACTATTACCCAAAGTTTAGGGCTCTCGTGTAAAATATTACAGTCAAAGTATTCGGAGTGAAAATGGTAACTGCTTCAGTAGACGATTTTGAAATGTTTTAGTTTTTGCGGCTCTAACTGATGAAAGTTACCTAGTTCAGCTATCAAATCAGAGATAGGCAAGCTTTCAAAATGGCACATACTCAACATTCCGCGACTTTTTATGGTTATAAGTACATAGCGAAAGTGTTATTGCTGACAGAGACAGGCACTACATAAAATCAACCCACACGCAATAAGTCTTGAATCAAATTTGCGGTTTCCGGCTTCCTTGAGTTCCAGATCAAAGTTCAACAATCATCTAACGGTTCACTTTACCAATAATAGGGACCGTCGTCAAAGGGGACGTGGCAAAACAAAAGATCTAATTGCCAAAACAATGGCTCAGGACGTGCCTTTTAAAACTTTGTACATTTCTTAGCCGTCCTATCTAAAACAACAACGTGAAAATGCCAAAATTTGCGTCATATGCGAAACGCAAACCGCGACGGCAAATTATTTTAATTTCCATTCGAAACTCGACGCTTCTTTTATACGTTATGCTGAAGTTGAGGTGTGGCGCCGTATGAGGCGGTAAAGATATGCAGCCAACTTGAAATTCTAATTAAAGGCAGTAATTATTTTTGAATCGTACTCTTCCTTGACGTTGCCGTCCTGACTGTTTAAGGTCCCTAATTAGAAATGACGACTACGAACGCTTCCTGTTTATGCTTATCAACACATTGACTGTAACTAATAACATTAGAAAAATTGGAGACACTATGACATATGCGCAAAATAGGTAAGACGGCTTTGAAAAGATACACTCTCGACGTTTTCAAGTAGAAACAAGACAAAAAACAAACAAACAGTCTTTTATTAGTAACATGTAGGAACCTACATGTAACATATGAGATAAAGTTTCGCGAAGTTGGTTCCACTTTCATCCAGCCCCTAATGTTGGGGGTTGTACGACTCGCTTAGGCAAATTAACCAGAGGTACTAGGACCCTGTACTTTTCTTTGATTCTCTTGGAAAGGAGTTGACTTCTACCACAGCGACGCTTTTCTTCTCTCTCTCTATCGAGGAGTACCAACGTATTAAATAGGAAACCGTAGACATGTTAGGGTTAGCTGACCGTGAGAGTTTCTATAGTATATCCGTTATTTTCCAGAGGAGAAAATTGGGTGGCTCGCTCCGAAGTGCTCGGCGAGCACCAAGGAACCAATGATCGAGCTGCGCACAAGAATCGCGCGCGCAAACAGGAACTTCAGTGTTGGTAAAACTTAAGGTCAGTTTTACCAACCCAAACATGACGACCTCTGAAACTAATTTATTCTCAACCATAGCAAGCGATTGAAATGTCTGGTACGGTAAGAAGGAAATCCGCGAACTGAGCCTAGTTCAAGCACACAGTAGAAATAAAAGATCAAAACTATAAATCTACCAAAACAACGCGTAGGCGCTAAAGGCAAGGCTCAACAAAACAAAGAGCTTAACTGAAAAAGTCTCAAAATAACAAATTCCAATTTTACCTCACAACATTCCTCCCCGCCTAAACCAGGCATCGTCCTCGATGCGGACGGTAGGGAAAGATTACATGGAAGATAGATATGAAACTGCTAATTAACACCTCTTGGTTCCACTAACAAAATAATTAAATGTTTTTTGTTTTTTAGTTACCTATCAATTTAGGCTTTTTCCAACCAAGCGGGCATTAATCAATCCGCATTGTCATGCATCTTACCAGGGCGATGAATGATCTCAAAATCGCACTGTTGTAAAAGTAAGGCCCACCTTGCAAGACGACCAAAAGCATCCTTAACGTTCACTAACCAACATTCACTTTACCATTGTGGACTTGAGCTAAGGTAAATCCTATTCCCGAAGAACTAGCATCGATGAACAGAAAAGAAGGCTCCGTAAAGTTAGGATAAGCTAAAATAGGAGCGGACACTAAAGCACGTTTCAACTTGTCGAAAGCAATATATAGCACACTCTTCAGTTCAATTGAAAGAAACACAGTTCTTAGTCAATGCATTCACAGGGGAGTGGCTATGTGGGAAAAGCCGGTGACAAAGCGCCTGTAATAATTAGAGAGACCTAGGAAATTCCTGAGCTCCTTGAGATTAGTTGGAGTAGGGAATTCCTGCACAACACGAATCTTTCCTGGGTTGAGACTCATGATACCTTCAAGAGTTCTAACATGACCAAGATATTCTACTCTTTGCTTAACAAAATATTAGCTTCACGAAGTCTCTTAAAAACCTCTTCCAAATGAGCTAAGTGTTCTCCAACCGATTCGGAAAATATAGTAATATCATCCATATATATAAGTGCAAATCGATATTCCAATCCTCTCAAAATGTGGCCCATCAGCCTCTGGAAACTCTGTCCAGAATTTGTTAGACCAAAAGGCATTACCAAGAATTCATACAGGCCGTTGTGCGTAAGGCCTACTCTGGGACCTTAAGTTGCTTTAAGTCGCCTGAAGTTGCGTAAAGTTGCCTAAAGTCGCCTTGTTAAGTTGCCTTAAGTCGCTATTGGTCACGAAATGTTATAAGGGTACCCCCTTCCCAATTGACCCCATTCACCCCACTCTAATCATATTGTGTTTATTGCAAGGGATTCTGTAACTATCTTTAAATTTTATGGAGAGACTGTTGCTAACTTTGATTTTATCACTTCGGTCAAATAAAATCGCTTTAAGTCGCCTTTAATCTCCTAAAGTCGCAACGTTTTTTCTACCAATTTTCTTAAGTCGCCTTAAATCGCCCAAAGTCGCCCAAAGTTACGGCGACTTAAGGCCCCAGAGTAGGCCTTGCGTAGCAAAAGCAGTCTTCTCTCTAGCGGAAGGGTGGGGTGAAGCTCTATTTGCTAGTAACTCGACTTCGTCTCGATTGTGCTGAAGACGCTTGTTCCACTTAAAGAATCCAAAGTATCGGCAATCAGGGGCAACGGAAAGCTATCTTTTTTGGTAACTTTGTTCAGTTTGCGATAATCAACGCGAAACCTCATAGAACCATCTTTTTTTTTTAACCAGAACAACAGGTGAAGACCAAGCACTTGCTGACTCCTAAACAATTCTGCGTTCCAGGATATCGCTTACTTGTCTATCGATCTCCTGCTTACCTTCAGGCGAAGTGCGAGAGGGCATTTGTTTAATTGGGGTAGTGTCGCCCGTATCAATCACGTGCTGTACTAACGATGTTCTTCCTAACTCAGCATCAGAAAAAGCAAACACATCACGGTATTTACTAAATGAATCGCGAAACTTAATTTTGTCATCTGCTGACAAAATACCATCAGATAAGTCAGGAAATTGGGAATAATCACACTTTTCCGACAGATGGTCGCTACTAGGAGAACGATGATTTTCAGACAGCTTTTCACTCGCACTTATTTCGAAAGTAGCTATGTTGCGATCTAATTCCTCAAAACTAGCTAGACGGGTCCCTCGGTAAATCTTCACTGGTTCGAAGGATTAACCAACCTCACAGGGATGGTGCCATCTTCTCCGACAGTAACAAGCTCCGAAGCTCCGAAAATAGAATAACGATGACATAAGTCAGATTTTGGGGCAATAATGCCCCTAATACCATTCTCCGCTAGAAATCTCGATTCTAGGCCGGAGCATCAAGGTTTCCCGGAACCAAAATCTCTGACTGGGGTGGAATAATAAAGGTACAAGAGGCGTTAGTTGATGAAACGAAGGCTTTATCTATCAAATCATTGTTGTCACTGTCAATGGGAACACCCTCGAAAGGAAAAGGACTGGGCTTAGAAGGAAAACTGACTAATCCATTCTCAAAATCAACTATGAAACAAAATCGCTGGAGGAAGTCTCTACCAAGAATAATATCGTAAGAAAAATCTTCTATCACACATACTTCGAAAGTAAACATACAAGAATCGATAACAAATTCCATCGAGGTCTTTCCTTTTGTAGTTAAACAAGAACCATTGACTGTAGTCACACTTTCTGAATCAGGCATACTAGATTAGGGTAGGAGTGACGCAAACACTGCCGCCACACTTTAGCATTTACTGCCGTGACAGCAGCTCCGGAACTATAAACGATGAAAATCATGCCCCTTAATGCTAACAGGAAGGAGAGAAGTTCCAGGCACAAAAGAAACACAAATATTATCGACTTCGTCCTCCACGAAATTATCAAAGCGACTTGAGCCCGCCTTCTGAAAAGAATCCATYCGGACAGAGAAGCATTACATCCCATCTCTGTTCTAGTTCCGCTGCTAAAATCATCTAAACTCTTCGAGACGGATGAATTCGTTGACCCCTGTTCACTATTCTCTATATTATTACTGATTATTCAAAGGCGAGTAGTCATTACAGAAAGTTTCATTGCTATGAGTTACCTTATTTTGCTTAACATTGTGTGACATGACCTCCGAAATAACAATATCATCACATCTCCATATATCGTCAACAAAAACATCTGCTTGCTCAAAACCCTAGGCTGTTTTCTTCGACAAAAGCACTTTTAAAGCTTCGAGGTTCTTCCTTCAAGACCTCACACAGACATTCAGGAGGTTTATTCAGAACAGACAAAGCAGAAAAGTTCGGCGTACCGGCGCTTGAAAATAAAGTCGCGTGTCTTTTACTAGACACCGGAGGTCGTTTAAGTACATCCCCCGTACTTGTTATGACTACTTCAAACAACTCGAGTAGCTTAATAATGATAGCGAAAACAACGGATAAAATAACGATGATACTACTCTCCAAACAAGTGCCTTGTTTTCCTACTCTACTACTCTGAGGAGGGCGACTAGATGAATGTTTTGGCGAAGTTTGATAACTACCTTCAACAATAACATGTTGCGCTAAA